ACAGTTGGAGGGAGGGCTTGGCACAGGCACAGACACTGGCACGGGGCACGAAGGGTGGGCACAGAGGGCGGTGGCAACCAGGAAGTGCTACCACATATTGACTGGAAGGTCTACCAGTGGCTTAAGTGCAAATGGAAAAGTAAATTAGGCGTTCATGCTAGCCATCTCATCTACCTACATTCTGCTACAGATCAAGCAGTATCTAGCATATGCATATCCTAGCACATTCTTCGAAGGGACACTTGATGTTCTAGGGGCTTGTTGAGTTGTTGAAGGCGCGGAGGAAAATTGAAATGATTCGATTGCTATCGTTAAAATGTTCTAGCCAAAGTTCACTGTGCAATACTCAAGCGGCGGTGTCGCGGGTGTGGGTGCGGGTGCGGCAAGCTTCCGCCTCCTACCGACCACACACACTCGACGACGCGACATCATTCGTTAGGTCGATATTGTTACTACATTTCCCCCCTGATGTCGCTTTGGTCTAGCGCGTCTTCTTGCGTAGGTCTTGGACAAGCTTCTTGAAATGCGCGGCGTGCTAGATTGTTCGCTCCAACTCCCATGTTGCTTTATACTCTGGCAATCCATGCCACTAGACATGGTATTTCTTTTTGCGATTGAATTGCCGTTTCTTCATCAGCGCCTCTACGATAAAAAGCTCAATTCCTTTGTTGTCCAGGCAGGACATGAGGAGTAGCCTTTGGAATCGGACGGCTTTGGCAGTGGCGCTTCAACCGTCAACGTAGAAGACTAAATGCAGACGCCGCCTTGACGCTGATAGGGCCAACCGCATCGCACTTGAGTTGATTACTTCCCGTCACTTTGAAGGGACTAATGTATCGTGGTACGAATTTTGACCTTTTTCGCTTGTCGCTTGTGTAACGCATGCACAACTAGTCGCTGTGCGTGCGTTAACGTAATTTCGCGTGTAGCTAGCATGACGCTGTCGCCGACTTTAAATTGCTCTTCGGCTCTCTTACGAACAGGGAGACCTGTGATCCAGTCGATGGAATGTGTATGCCAGCATCCGTCAGGAGACTTGATTGGGAACTTTCGACCATTGGCTTTGGCACTACTCGACATATGGCGTGCACACGTTTCGCATGTTGCGACGTACAACTTGACATCTTCGTCCATTCGGTTCCAATACTGGGAAAGTGGGAATGCAACGCCCACCAAAGAAAATTGTTTGTCACACAAATATATGTCCAATCAAATGATTTTTCAAAATGGCTATCATTCATTGGCGGAATTTTTATTGCGCGCGCCGCGCGCTTTTCAAACAATATTTCTCTGGTTTGGACTCTCTGTGCAGACCACAACCACACACAACCAAATAT